GTGGCAGCCATCCTTGGTTCCTAGCGTGGCCTCTCCCACGTGCCTCCAGGTTTAGCACAGGCAGTGAACAGCCATGGATCACTTTGTAGCTCCTACTAGGTAGTCCCTGGCCAGTCACAGGCAGTGGGTGACCTGGGCCTGCACAGAATCCCCTCTCAAAAGGTCCCAGAACCAACATACTTGGAGGTTGGCTTCAGACCACAGCAGAGCATCATCCATTAGCCCCACAAGTGGCACACCCATAGGGCAGTCTCAGCAGGCACAAGAGCCCACTGGAGCAATTCCCACACTGTGGGATAAGTCCCCTGCACAGCAGCCCATAAGTTGTATACGTGGCCAAACCCCACAGCCAATCAGCCTCAGGGTCAATCCCATCCACTGAAATGCCAATAACAAGGCTCAAGTATAACAGGAGGGTACACACAACCCACACAAGGGACACGCCTGGATCACCTGGAGCAGGTGACCAGGAAGACTGTGCCAGGGCCCCACAGTGCAGCTACTACATAAGGCCACCAGGCAAAGACTGGGAGACATAGCAGATCTACCTAATACATTGAAACAAACCAAGAGGCAGCCAAAATGAGGAAACAAAGAAATACATCCCAAATGAAAACTCCAGAAAAAGAACTAAACAAAATTCTGGCAAACAACCTACCAGATACAGAGCTCAAAACACTTATAAGGATGCTCAAGGAACTTAGGGAGAACTTCAGCAAAGAGACAGCAAGCATAAAAAAGGACATAGAAACCATTTTAAAAGAAAACAGAAGTAAAGAATACAATAGATGAAATGAAGAATGCACTAGAAGGAACCACCAGCAGACCAGATGAAGCAGAGGATCAAATCAGCAATTTAGAAGACAACATAGCAGAAAACACCCAATCAGAACAGCAAAAAGAAAAAAGAATCCAAAAAGATGAGAGTTTAAGAGACCTCTGGGACAATATCAAGTACAACATTCGCATCATAGGGGTACCAAAAGAAGAAGAGAGAAAGCAAGGAATTGAGAACCTATTTGATGAAATAATGACTGAAAACTTCCCTAACCTGGCAAAGGAAATAAACATACAAGCCCAGGAAGCAGAGAGTCCCAAAGAAGATGAACCCAAACAGGCCCACACCAAGATACATCATAATTAAAATGCCAAAGGTTAAAGACAAAGAGAGAATCCTAAAAGAGGCAATTAGTTACCTACAAGGGGGCTCTCATAAAACTGTCAGCTGACTTCTGAACAGAAACTTTGCAGGCCAGAAGGGACTGGCAGGAAATATTCAAAATGATGAAAAGCAAGGACCTACAATATAGATTACTCTACCCAGCAAAGCTATCATTTAGAATCCAAGGACAGATAAAGAGCTTCCCAGACAACAAAAAGCTAAAGGAGTTCCTCACCACCAAACCAGTATTACAAGGAATCTTACAAGGACTTCTTTAAGATGGAAAAAAAGATAAAAAATATGAATAATAAAATGGCAATAGTTACATATCTATCAACAATTACTTTCAATGTAAATGGATTAAATTTTCCAATCACAAGACACAGGAGGGCTGAATGGATAAGAAAATAAAACCATTACATATGCTGCCTCCAAGAGACTCACTTCAGATTGGAAAACAGACAGAAAGTTAAGGGATGGAGAAAGACATTTTATGAAAATGGAAACAAACAAAAACTGGGGTACCAATGCTTATACCAGGCAAAATAGACTTTAAAACAAAGGCTATAACAAGAGACAAAGAAGGACCCAGTAATCCCACTTCTGGGTATTTATTTGAAGAAACCCAAACGCTACTTCTAGGGGATGTATGCATCCATATGTTCATTGCAGCATTGTTTACAATGGCCAACATGTGGAGGCAGCCTGGGTGTCCACTGACTGATGAATGGATAAAGAGGAGGTGGTACATATGTACAATGAAATATTGCTTGGCCAGGGAAGGGAATGGGTTCTTGCCATCTGTGGCGGCATGGATGGACCTGGAGGGTATTGTGCTGAGTGGAGTGTCAGACAGAGAAAGACAGATGCAATGTGATTTCACTTATATGTGGAATCTAAATAATAAAATAAAGAAACAAAGAAAACAGAAACAAACTCATAGAAACAGTGAACAAACTGATGGTTGCCAGATGGGAGGGGGTTTGGGAATGGGTGAAAAGGGGAAGGGATTAAGAAATACAAATTGGTAGTTACAAAATAGTCATGAGGATATAAAGTAAAGTATAAAGAATCTAGTCAATGATATGGTAATAACTATGTATAGTACCTGGTGGGTACTAACCAGGGGGTCGCTTCTTAAATTATATAAATGTCTAACTACTATGCTGTACACCTGAAATTTTATAAAATAATATTGAATGTCTATTGTAATTGAAAAATCAAAAAAGAGGGAAAAGGTGAAGGGGAACAAGAGGTCCAAATTTCCAGGTATAAAACAAGTAAGTTAGGGGACATAATGTACAGCATAGGGAATATAGTCAATAATATTGTGATAGCATGGTACGGTGTCAGGTTGATGCTGGACTTACCATGGCAATCACTTCTTTAGGTATATAAATACTGAATAACAATGGTGTATACCTGAAACTAATATGATATCGTATGTTAGCTATATTTTTAATAAACATCTTTAAAACGAAGACATATAAAGATTAAGAAAACAAAAACAAAAAAACAGTGTAGCCCAGAGTTCGGTGAGTAATAAGAACGCTATAAAAATAGCCATTATTATTTGTAGATATTGAAAGTATCCAGGAGTCAATGAAGCACATTGTTCCAAATGGTGGTACTGGGAGGGCGGTGTATAAGGAAGGATTCAATGAGGGATTGGATAAATTATTCATGATTGAGTCAGAAATGACCCCAAAAACAAGATGGAACATACTTACCTTCAAGTCTGATGTCAACAAAGACACATCCCTTCTCCACAGACTAAGTTTCTTAGGTCTAACTCATATTATTTCCTGTTTTTCTCTGTGGCTTAGCTGTGTCTTCAGTGGCAAATCCCTGGCATATTGCTTATAGTTTTGCTCAGTGGTGGTTTTCATGAGCCAGCCACTTTGGGCTTTTTTGGGGATACCTGTCCTGTGTACGCAATAACTCCCCGTGTTTGATGGAGCAAAGTGGCTAAAAGCAGTCTCGTTGGCTGAAATGTTCAAGCCACACAGGCCATGTGACTGCCAAACACAGACTATGAGCGTGGAAAGGGTAACTCCAAAGATACCCCCCACCCAGGTCTAAGGCCCAAGGAGGGAGAGCTAGACAGCTCCTCAAACAACATCATGAACAGGTCTGTATGTCGAGTTCCTTTTTTTCTGTACACGGCGGACCCTCCATAAATATTTGTTGATGTTGAAAGAAACTAATGAGGAGTGGAATGGATTAAAAAGGACCAAAACATTCTGGGCTGCGGATGGAAAGAGAAACACATGTACGGGAAGGGATGGGGTTGAAATAATGACCCCAGCTCGTGTGTTTGGCTTAGCGACGCTGGCTCACTACCTCCTCAAACGTCACATCATGTGATCACACATGGACCTGGATTCTCATTGTGCCTCTTTACCACCCCAGTGAAGGGTAAGTTAATCGCACCCTGTGGACAGCGTCTCAATCTGGATGAGCGAAGCTGTGCTGGTGTATCACACAGTGCCCAAATCTCCTTGGCTCCCTACAACGATGGCTTATTTGTGGCTATGCAAAGTCTGCAGCGGTCCTGGTGTCTTTCCTGGGCAGTGCCCACCATATGTTGGCACATTATTTGCGGCTGCTTCCAATTTGTGGCTTCTCTATAGGAACATATGAAAAGGTCGGACAATTAAGTTTGCGAACTTTCCACCATGTAAGTGCATGGTGGAAAGCTCGCAAATGTAATTGTCTGAGGTGTGCTACTATGAGCACTGTGACGGGCTGAGGCGGGGGTGGGCGGAGGGTTTGCTGAGTTGAGCGGCAGCAATCCACGTGGCTAGGACTAACTTCACGGGTGAGAAGCTGTCCTCCTCCATGTACCTGGAATAGGTGAGAATGGATATCAATGAGCAGTGGTAATGGTCATTCCCTACAGCTCTTCAAGCAACACAGGTCCTAGCTGTCATTTTAAGTTTTCTTTGGATTATCTCTTTAAGAAAAGCCATTTGAGTACTTTGAATTTGTGCAATACAAAAAAATCTTCAAGACCTGCTCAGGTTGTTTTAATCGATGATGCTACCAACCTTTTAAAATCTACAGTTTGTAAAGAAAGCGTTTGTTGAGTATCAAATAAATAAAATGTTTCTACTTAAGATTTGATGTCCCTCACTTCTGGAAACTTCCTTGTTAGCCCCGTACCAAGTTCTGGGACATGGGCTGGCCCTCGGAGCTGAGTTTGTGTTCAAATAAAGGACCTTTTGTGTACCTTAGCTAACCCTGACTGGAGGGGATAAAAATAGTCCTAGACTTTGACCATTTTAACCGTATAGAAAAAAGCATTAGTCAGAAAACATCTGGCCTGTTTCTGAGCTCTTTCATCCTGGGCCACCGTCAGTAGCAGCTAAGAGTTACTGAGCAATGGACTATGTTAATTTACTGTGGTGAGTGCTTTGTATGCAGGTATCATTTAAATTTTATAACATCCTAGAAGGTTCACTTTCATCATCCTGACTTTACACAGGAAGAAACAGGCTTAGAGAGTCACCTCATTGTGCCAGACCCTCACAGCCCAAGTCTGGACCCAGCTCATCTGACTGGAGAGCCCTGGCCCTTAACCATTGCCCTAAACTACCTACCAAATGCTCTTACAATTAAGTCTTAAGGGAGCTGAAGCAAATACTGCCATCTGCATGGAAACGAGTGCCCTCGAAACCAGCACCCTGAACATCGGGGTTCTCAGTCCTGGAGGAGTGCTGGGCACTTGTTCCTGCCCTGGACACCCAGCTTGTGTTCCCAGAGACCAGGCATGGACGGAATACTGTCCTGTGACTCTCACTAACAAAGCACTCTGCCTGTTTCTTGTGTCTTCCAGTTGACCGTCCTCCAATGGAACCCTCGCAGTTTGTCTCAGTGGTCCCGAAATATCCAGACAAGATGGGATTTGATGAGGTAGGAAAGGGGTCTGTGTGTGTGTGTGCACGTGCACGCATGTGCATGGGTGCAGCATGTTTCCATGGTTACATCGGAACGCAAGCCTGGGTATGTCCAAGAGCCACCACGACTGATGCAAAGTCACTGGGGTCTTGGGGGAAATTACTCCATTTTTGCTTCACCTCACGTATGTTAAAAAAGGAGTATCGGGGGTGACGGGTTAGCTCAGTTGGTTACAGCATGGTGCTGATAACACCAAGGTTGCTGGTTCGATCCCCGCATGGGCCACTGTGAGCTGTGCCCCTCTTTAAAAGAGTCAACTATGCCATTGTAGCATGAAAGCAATGTGTAACCAATGGCCATGGCTATTCCCCAATAAAATTTTAAAAAAAAAGAAGAAGGGGTATAGGTAAAAGTGATTGAATTGAGTCAGAAAGAAGTTACTATTTGGTAGTAAGAGTCAATTTGATATTGTTTCTAAAGTATTCCCAAATTTTATCAACCTTTTTATCCAGGTTCAAGGGTAGGGTAGGAGGATATATATTTTAGATATCAGGGGACTTGAGCTTTATTGCAAGGGGGTGGAGACTTCTGGAACTCTCTGTGCTTTATGTTCTCTCGGCCGTTTTTTCTCTTATGGAAAAAGGTTGGAGGGCAGCATTGAAAGGACAAAGAAAAAGGGAAAAAAGAAACCTGTTTCAAAATTCCACCTTTCAGCAGGCAAGAACTTCATAATAGCTCTCTGAGGACCGTATTTATTATTGCGTTTCAACCGTATAAAGAATGAGGCAGAACTGTAAAGAGATGCCTCTCTGGGTAACATGCACAACACATCTGATACGTGGCAAGGCCAGAATCGTGACTCCAAGTCATGGAACACCCCTCATGGTCCCTCATGTCATGTAGTTGCTGGTCAGTATTGAGGAGTTTGGTTGTCCAGAGGCTGGGACAGTGACCCAGGAATCCACAAAAAGAGAGATAATTTTTCATAGATTCTAGGTATGTCATAGGCTGAGCTTGGTGCTCTGTGCTTACTGCCAGTGCTTCATTGAAAGAAAATGCCTTGTTTATCACCCTGTACCATATAATGCATGTCCCCAAAGCACAGCCATCTTCAAGAGCTGCTGGAGCTGGGAATTGGGAGTTTATCTGTAAAATTGACTTGGAGCTGGAATGTGAAGGAGTGTTTCATGAATATTAAGCAGAAAAGAGCAAGCAGCTATTAAGCTGGGTCTACAGAGGGCAGAATGAGAAGACATGATTTTATGTGTGGGAGAGAGGAATTAGACTGAAGTATAAACAGTTTTTAAAAACAATCAGGGCTGCAGAAAATGTTGGCCCACACCACACACTGGACAAGTTTCCATGTGCTGCTGTAGCTCCCTTGCCCTCAGCTCTCACCAGCTGAGTTGTGTAGCTAAAAGAACCCAGGAGAACATATATTTATTCATTTTTCCCTCTATAAACACATTCCCTTGAGGACCAATCCAAAGCCAATAAAATGGGACAAAACCAGAATCTTCTATCTCTGCTCTCCCATTTGGATGTGGGTGCGAGGACTGGGCCACTTCTAGACTTCTAAAAAAGTGCCAATTCTAGGAAGTGACACAGCCTTGGCCACTACTTTCCTGAGCCTGGGGTAATCCTCTCTGTGTCTGGAACAGAGAGAGGAGGGTGGCAAAACAGATTTTCAGGGGCCTTTCCAACCCTCCCAGTACTCTGTGACCTTGGCGGTGGTGTCTGGGCTGCAATGGTCCGTGTGGCTCTTTCTCTGTTTACCATTCATGATGTATGAGCGAGCTGTCTGTGTTTTTCCTTCGTGGCTACAGTTTTTATTGCACTTGTCCTTGCAGGAACTGGGACAGGATTGTTATTTACTAAATCATCCCAGGCTGGAGGTCTCTGGTTTGAGGGGACTTCATTTATTTTTTTTTGCTGTATGTCTGTTAATGTTTTGTTTTGTTTTGTTTTGTTTTTGCTCTCCTGAAGTGACCCCAGGTAGCTCCCTGTAAACACATGAGTGACGCTCTGCCTGTCCGTAAAACTGGGGGATGGAAACTGCCCATCACAGTATAAGTCTAAACAGGTAGAAAACGAAATCTAAAAGAACACTACACATGAAGTTATAAAATCCCAAGTAGCAAGGCAGATAGAATCACTACAGAAATTGTTAAAAAAAAAAAATTACCCAGTTAGGTGAACAAAGGCGGTAATGAAATCATGGCGCAGCTAAGCCACTTTTCCTCTGAATCAGGTGATTTCTTACAGAGGACATCTTGCTCCCCCCATCAGTTTCTTTGTGCGGAGCTTTATAAATGGGTGAAAGTGAGAATATTTTGTAACATTTTAGTTAGGGTAGCTTATGGTCCCAGTAAAACATATAGCTTATTGATGATCACAGTTAGAATGATCCTGCGAACCAAAGCTTAACCCAGTATAGTCTGAACTCCAGGATGGTTATAAGACAGTTTCTTCTTTATTCTGGACGTAGGATAAAGCCAACTTTATCATAAACCACATATCACAGAAGCTCTCATCTGTGCTGGACTTAAGAGGTGAGTTTGTTCAACTTGCCTCTTTTAAAAAACGAGGGCCTGGACCTTGAATCATGACATGTCTTCCTAAATGTCACCTAGATGGTTAGTCAGGATGAAGTTGGCATCACCTGACTTATTCCTATAGGATTCGCCTTTCCCATGGTACGTGTCATCATTTTTCCTAGCAGCTGAAGTTTCCCTCTCTTGGAGGAATAGTTTAATGTTCAAAGCGAGTGTATTATTGCTTCCAGCAAAAAGACCTTATTAGAATACTAACTGACCTGTAATAGCATTCATGGGGCTTTAGGTATTTCTGTGGCTCAAATCTGGGAATAGTCAGGAGAGCTTCATTACCTGAACGTCCCTGTCTGGCCTCATGTATGTATTTGGTGCAGCCATCAGGAATGTAGGGGCGAAAGTGAGGTGCTCCTAGTAGGCCCAGCCCTCACAGGAGGAAATTTGAATGCACGCTCTTCGGGACTTCATGGCCCAGTAGGGTTCCTTGCTATCGTGGTTCCTACAGGTCCACAGGATGTGGAAATAAAGCCTCTCTGTTTCTCCCTTCTCTCTCCTCAAAGGGCTACCCCCGAGGGCAGAACCCCTTCTCTATACTTCTTTCAGAAAAATTACTTTGTCTCTAAGGGAGTTGAATTTTGGCAAAGAAGCTACTAAAATTGAGACTTTGATGGTTCCGTTTGGAATCCTTGGAAATAAAATGAATATGTGAAGACTAGCTTTTTCTGTATTCTTTGAATGTCTTTAAATTTATCTACAGTGGAAACTGAGGCATAAGAACTGGCCCAAGGCAAACAAAACACTAGTAAATAACAGTCAGGTAGTAAACTCGGGTCTGCCGACAAATTTAACCACTTGCCAAACTGCCGCGTCCCCTTTAGTGCTTATGCTTTGGGTTTAATTCATCCTTGGTCTCCTGAAGAGTAACTCTTTCAACTTTCCTGTCTCAAGAGCAAGGCAGACACACTCATCAACCGAGCATCAGAGAAACAAAGAGAGAGTTAAGTCATTGCAAATGGCTCCGTTTTGAAAGTAATTCTGTTTGGATTCATGTCATTTGACCTGATATGAAATATAAACAAATCTTCACCACCACAGCTTTGCCTATGGTTTTCACTCCTTATTCTAACAAAAACGTTAAAACTCTGGCCCCTACATTTACGTAAATTCTCACGCAGCCTAAAGTGAGACTGGAGTAACCCGTGTGTCTCTTTTCCTTTTCTCCCCGCATTAGATTTTCATGATAAACCTCAAACGCAGAAAGGACAGGCGAGACCGGATGTTACGCACCCTGTATGAGCAGGAGATTGAGGTCAAGATCGTGGAGGCCGTGGATGGAAAGTGAGTCGGGTTTCTTCTCGAACCCTTGCAGATGTGGTTGGAGTGGCGTTGAGCCCTCTCTGACAGGTCTGGGTGGGAGGAACCCACAGCCATTAGAATATAGACCCATTTTTATAACAGCCACATGCAGCCTACTTTGGGAGAAATGGAGATAGAAGTTAATTTCACCATGTCGATCAGTTCTGAAATCTACTTACCATCCAGCCAGCCATCTCTGGTCTTCATTGTGCTGAAGACTCACCCTGGAAACCATGTTCCCATCTCTGGGGGTTCTTGCAATGGTTGGGGTGCTGTATGGGAAGGAATGCATTCAGAGCCTGATTTAGAGCAAATTGTCCAAACTTGGGCGACCTGAAGAAAATAAGTGGAAAAAATGCACAACGGTCTGTGTATCTTGTTGCATGAGATGCTAGCCGCAGTCTGCCTGAGCTGATCAGTTTTCCTGATACTGCTACTGGGACACATTAACCCTGAGGAACTCATAAGGAATGACGGGAAATCTGTGACATTTTTCTCTGGGTGCATCACGGCTCTAGGAATATGCAGAGCTCTCTTCCCAGTTTCTGTGGTGGGGACCTCTGAACTTGTTAATTTTCAGACATGTTCTCTGTCATGCAGGGCACTCAACACAAGCCAGCTGAAGGCCCTGAATATTGAAATGCTGCCTGGATACCGAGATCCCTACTCCTCCAGGCCTCTTACCAGGGGGGAAATTGGCTGCTTTCTTAGCCACTACTCGGTCTGGAAGGAGGTAAATAAGGCTTCCATTAGATGTGCAGTTATGCAGTAAGGAGGAAGGAGAGTGGGACTTTGCAGGTGAACCCATAACTGATCTGGAAGTATGACCTGGAAGTTGCTGTTGCCTCGTGTCTTCTTCTGACATAAGACAGCAACAAATAAGGAGGGGTAAGCTTGGTGCCACTCCGGAGGATGACAGGGGGAGATACTCATGCTCTGAGTGCCATGCTCCTATTGATGCATTCTCATCCGTAGTGGGAATGTCCTGCATGTATCTAGCGTGTCATCATTTATTAAGTGATTTCACACAGGAAGCCACACAGAAGCCATGGTAGGTGGGTCAGGAGGGATGGGCCCATTTTACCCAAGAGGAAATAAATCTGTTGTCCAGGCAAGAAGTGGCAGTGCCAGGCCTTGAACCCATATCTTACAGATTAGACATTGATGGGGTGGCGCTGGAGAGTGGGGTTCTTGATGAAGGGTCCATTCTCATAAGAGAAAAATCCCTAACAGAGGCCCCTTGGATGGCTTCTGTCTTTGATCAGTCTATGCCCATCATTTTGGGGGGTTTCAATGAAATGTAACGGATAATGTATAAAAGTATGTAGATCATAAAATACGGGCCAATGAAATTTCACAAACAATATACCCATATTAACCAGCACCCAAATCAAGAAACAGGTTGCCGGCATCCCAGAAGTAACTCCTCCTGTATTTCCCTCTAGTCACCTGTTCCCAAGGGTAATCTCCATCCAGCTTTTAACAACAGCAAAAATAGTTTTGTCTACTTTTGTATGGTTTTTTTTATATGATTGAAACCCTATGACATGTATACTCTCTCAACATTACGTTTGTGAGATTCATCTGCAACACTGCATTTAATTGTAGATCATACATTCCTAATGCTGTAAATAAACCACAGTTTATTGATCCATTCTACTCTTGATGGGCATGGGCTTGGAGCCCAGTTTGGGGCTCTTACATACTATGCTACTCTACTCTCAACATTTTAATACTTACTTATCTAATAAAAAATAGGGACGGAACTTTTCATAGGGTGTCTTCCCCCTGATCACCTGTACAGGTAATTGACCGAGAGCTGGAGAAGACTCTCGTGATTGAGGATGATGTGCGTTTTGAGCATCAGTTCAAGAAGAAGCTGATGAAGCTGATGGATGACATTGACCAGGCTCAGCTGGATTGGGAACTGATGTGAGTGACAAGACAAGCTTATCAGAGTGTGCTGAGAGGCACGCAGGCCTTTCCAAGGGGCAGTGAGCCCCACCTCCCAGCTGGTGGGAGATACCGTTCAAGCTTCCACTTAGCTGGTTTCCTCTCCACAAATGTTCCCAGAAGTGAGGAGAGGATAGCCACTGGGCTCTGCAGGGCGAGGAAGCAACTATGGGAGGTTCTTTGTGAGGTCTGGAGTCTGCCTGCAGCTATCAGGGGCCTTCAGACTGAGCACTCACTGGGGAGCATAGCAGAAATGCCACCATGAAGCAACCTGGGCCGTGGACAGGCTGTGCAGAAGGACGAGGAGGCGTTTATTCAAGGGCAAGCATCCTGGGGCCCACTGGAGCCTCTGCTCCTGGGACAGCAGGTTCCCTCCCCAGCCTCTCAGGGTGCGGGAGGTTTGGCAGGGAGAGCGTTCCCCAGTTGGGAAGGGAAGCTGTGCAAACAGGAGAGCGCTGACTGCTGGGCTCCATGGAGGGTCAGAGGCTGGGGCAGGAAAACCAGGCGCATCAAGCAGGCGCTGGCTCTGAGCTGACATTTAATTAATGCTCACTGTCTGCTCAACTCACAGATGGAGTTCTCTCTCTCTCCTCTCTCTCCCTCTCCCTCCCTCCCTCCCTCATTTTCTTTTCAAACTAAAATGACACTTTTTACTTCTCTCCAATAAGGCAGAAAGTTCCAAGGGTTATGTTCGCTCCCCAGCTGCATGTCAAAGGCAAGTTCATCCAATCTGCGTTCCTTTGGAGCAGCTGCAGCGGACAAGCTGTCCCCACTCCTCCCACCCTTGGAGGGAAACTTGACGATGGGCCCAGGTGGAATATAGTTCTTGTTCTCTCAGAAAATGTCCCACTCCGAGTTCAAAAGAAACCTAGTCATGGTTCAACTAACCCATGGGAAATAGACCCAGAAATCAGTACTATGGGATAAAAAGCGACTGGCTTCTCCTCAGGGAGCAGTCATGTGATTAGATTCTGCCCTGTCCCTTAAGATCATTGTTGTTTCGATGTCACCCAGAAGTCACCACGCTTCAGCCTTTCTGAATTTGCTCAGCAGCCTGTGGTTCGGGCCCCACAGGCATGGGGCCTGGAAGCTATTTTATCCTCATATGACATGTGCTAAGGTCACTTTCACTTAAGCCTCAGAATCACTGAACACCAGGGAGCCTAAGGCTTAGAACTGGCACACGTCCCTGTTCATTTGTTGTTTCGTCGGTGTATTTCTTGGGACAGAGCACCAACAGATCCAAGAAAGAGGAACGATTGTCCTGGAAGGAGACAGGGGGGGAAAATATGTTTTCTAAATTTCACAGACTTCTCAAGTCAAAATATTCCACTAAAATCTATTATGCACTCTTAAAGAATTATAGTGGTTTCAAATTTTTCACCTCTCACTTTCTAAAATGAATAAGAAACAAATGTTACTTGAACTCCATATGTGAAAGCTGATAGGCTGTCCATGACTGCTATATTAAACTTCTCCAGAAAAAAAAAAAAGAAACAGTAAATGAGAAAACTAGGACAAGCCATTGAATCATTCAGGGCAGCGCTGTCCTTTAGAAATACAACATGAGGGCCGGCTGAGTGGCGCGCTGGTTAAGAGCTGGCTTGGGACGCCAGAGGGCCCCGGTTCAGATCCCACATATAAGGGCCAGTGACACTGCCCTCCACAGCCAAGATGCTGAACAACAGCTCAACCTGGAGCTGGGCTGCCGTGAGTCGCTGGCGACGACATAGGGCTGCAGCCCCTGTGGCAGTGGGTTGCAATGGGCTACCGTGTGTAGCCAGCAGCCAGCGTGAGCGGCCAGCAGCCGCAGTGAGCGGCCGTCCAGAAGCCGGCAACTGATCTGCCTCGCCTGGGAAGAGCGCAATGATGGTGCCAACTTGGGCCAGTGAAGCAACATCCTCCACAACTAGACTGAAGAACAAAACGACAGCAACTTGTCTGTTCCCCTTCCCCCAATTCCCCAGCACTGTTCCCATCCCCCCAATTCCCCAATAAAAATCTTAAAAAATATATATATATATATATAACATGAGCTACGTATATCATTTAAAATGTTCTAGGCATGACGTGAAACAGGTAAAAATAAATTAGGTGAAATTAACTTTAATAATACGTTTGCTCTAACCCAACACATCCAACTAGTATTTTAACATGTAATCAATACTTAAAAACTAGTAATGGGCTAGTCTACATTCTTTCTCGTGCCTTTTTCAAAATCCAGTGTGTTTTATACTTACAGCACGTTTCAATCCTGATGCTAAGTTGTCACCTGCTGAAGTAAACTGTAGTCTTACCAAAACAATAAGTTTTGTTTAATAATAATAATTGTTTTATTTAAAACAATAAATTTTGTGTAGTAAATGTGACACATTTATTAATGTGTAAAATATTTTATACATCTTCAATTTTAAAATTTCAATTAAGTAAAATTAACAAGTTGAGGACAAACTCAGTTCCTCAGTCGCTCTAGCCACATCGCAAGTGCTCAGCAGCAGCTTTGCTTCCTCTTGATGATGCATGAGTGAAATTCAAACTCTTTAGTCTGAAGAGACAGTGGCTGAGAGGATGTAAGTTTTATGTCCTCAGAACTGAAGGTGAGCATGGACTTGGTCCACAAATCCTGGGATGTTTTGACAAGAAGAATCCCTGGAATGCCGAGATCAAAAAGAGGAAGTCAGCTTTCCCTAGCAGGCAGGAAGCAGGCACCTCCTCAACTTGCTCCAGGCAAGTGGGAGACAAACAGGTTCCAGACAGAAGTAATGGATCACAGATCCATGAGTGGCCGATGGGAAGGAGGCAATGGCTGAGGATACATCTTGTGTTGCAGAAGTTGTTTGCTGAGGACAGGACATGGCTGGGTACCTTTCTCCGAGCAGAGAGCTCAGGAGAAAGCGTGGGAAGAGCTAGGGGAGTGTAAGGGGGAGAAGGCCATGCAAGCGTTGTCATTCATCCCCCCCCAGGAAGAACCCCCTTGGGTTCCTGGGTCTTTTACAGCGACTGTTTCTTTCCCCAGCCTTTTCTGTCCTGTGTTTACCACCAGCATTTGGAGAGCTGTGCAGAAAACATGGAAGACTAAAACTCTGGGGACTTGAAAAGGACAAACTCAGGATTCTCACTTCTGGCCCTTTTTGTCCCCAGCCAACCTCTGTAAACACAGCTGGAAATCCCATGCCACCTTTGGGAAAAGCTCTGAAAGATCTTTTAACCTCTCTGCATCTTAACTTTCTGGCTTAAACACAGTCTGCTAGGCAAGAGTAGATGGGGTGTTGATAAATGGACCCTGGAAATGGCCCCACTGATGACAGATGATGACGTGATGTGCTTTGTGGCATGATACATTTACTATAAAACACAGCTGGTCCGAGCTTTCAAAAGTTTATGCTCCGTTCATATGGCTGTCTAGTCTTCAAATTGGAATGTTCGCTTCTGCCCATTTCCTTTTAGTTATATTGGTAGGAAGAGGATGCAAGTGAAAGAGCCAGAGAAAGCAGTGCCCGATGTGGTGAATCTGGTGGAAGCTGACTATTCCTACTGGACGCTGGGCTACGCCATCTCTCTGGGAGGAGCACAGAAGCTGGTGGGAGCCGATCCTTTTGGGAAGATGCTGCCAGTGGACGAGTTCCTGCCGATCATGTACAACAAGCATCCCGTGTGAGTAGCCCCAACTGGCCTGCCAGTACCGTGGGCACAGCCTGTTCATTATTTACCCTCTCAGTTTCTGGGTCGTACTTGATATTTTCTAAAGATGCACTGCTTTCCTAAATGACCTTTTCATAATCATGACGTAGGGAGGCTGATCCCGGTGCTTATCCCCTTTATAAATGGGGATGATGGGGCAGAAATGGTGAGTGTTGCATAGGGGTCCTCGTTAATACCCAATGTGTAATTTAACCGGACATAATCTGCTCAGTCCTCTCCTTGTCTTTGATCTTCTTACTTCCATAAACCCGTACACCTCAAGGTGAAGGTCATCTTCCTAAGTACCTCAAACTTGTCAATTCATTTCTCAGTCCACGGTGTGTACTGTTGCCACACAGTGGCGCACAGTCTCATCGGGGATCCAGACCTACGAACAGTTGTCGTGATACATTGTGATACCTGTGGTCACAAAGCTGTGTTAGAGGCTCGTGGAGAGAGATGGCCTCTGAGCAGGGTCTCCATGGAAGAAGGCAGTGTACCACTCAGGGGCTCTGTAACCCAGGAGTTCACTCTGACCTAGCACTCATCAAAGGGTGTGGTAATCAATGGTTTACTTGTCAGTCCCCCCAATAACCTGTGAGTCCGTGAGGCAGGAACAGCCTTAACATCTCTGTGTCCTTAGAGCCTAGACCAAACTCTATACACATAATAGCTGCTCGATCAGTGATTCCTAAACTGACTGATGGAGCAGGAGACCAGATTCTACCCTTGGATCCTTCTCTCAGTTGCTGTGAGATCGCCTCACCTCCATGGTCTTCAGTTTAGTGGCTGAGAGTTCCCGATGTCCACCTTGCTCATTTCGTCTCCTGTCCTCAGTAACCATGGAGCTCCTCGCCCTGTCATGCAGCATGTCAGAGACCAACTTTATCTCTGCATCCTGGCAGAAACATGGAGGTCAACCAGCATTCCCTTAACAGAAAGGACATTAATACCTATGGTGCACTCACTGACCTAGGTGCCGAGCAGAAGTCACCTCATATCATCTGCACAGGAGCCCTGGGATGGAGGTCACGTCAGCCCTCAAGTGTATACTCACAGGGAACTGGAATGCAAAGCCACGTTGGCATGCCTCCAAGTCCACACCAGTCCCCTGACCCCCTTCATTGCCATCCAGATCCAACTGTCTAATTTACTGATCTAGGAACAGGGCATTTTCTACAAAGCGGTCACATTTATTTGTTATTATAGTCCACCAGAGCTTAATTCTTACCTATTAGAGTAAGACCCCAAATGCATCTTTTAAACTCATCTATCCAAATACAATAGAAATAGCCTGACTTTTTTTGTGCGTATTTGTTTTGATCATCTGAAAGCCTCTAATGATCTCCTTTATTGTGTTTATAAAGTTTTCCACAAAGGACACAATTTAAAAAATCATCAAAGGAATCTCTGACAATTTAAGAGATAACAAGCAGGGCCCCTCGCCCTTGTCCCGTGTCCTATACATGTCCAGCCCCCTCACGCACCTGTGCACCTCTTGTTTTCAGAGCTGAGTACAAGGAATATTACGAATCCAGGGACTTGAAAGCCTTCTCCGCAGAACCCTTGCTCATCTACCCCACACACTACACAGGCCAGCCGGGCTATCTGAGTGACACGGAGACCTCGACCATCTGGGACAATGAGACAGTGGCCACTGACTGGGACAGGACACATTCCTGGAAGTCCCGGAAGCAAGGTCACATCCACCACAATGCCAAGAACACAGAGGCCCTCCCACCGCCAACCTCCCTGGACACGGCGCCTTCGAGGGATGAGCTATGAAGGCTCCACGGGGGTTCACCACCCATTAGTTTTTCTAACGGGCTGTTCACCTGTTTGCTCCGGTTTCCTCTTGTGGTCACAGTCATCTAACCAAAGTGTTCTAATGTGATTGATCAAAATTAGTGTACTTTTGACGGGGGAGGGGGGGGTGGGGAGAATAAGGAAACTAAACCCAAATTTCCTAGGATGGCTAGAAGATAGGCTTTATGGCAACTATTAAGAGAAACTTAAATCTAGATACCTAGTCCTTCAGTTCATTACCCGTATGATACTGATCCTCACATTAAGGTTGAAAAATATGGCTCAGAGACTCATCCAAGAGAAAGGTGATCACCGCACTGTCATGTCCATAGATGGGTGGGCAAGGCAGCCATGCCAACTGGACCACACCTATTGGTCTAGTGGGCCTATTTCATGTCATAGATGTGACCTTGAAAACTGTGTATGTAACAAGTTTGTGGGGGGATAAAAATCACATCACTTAGAATCAAGTTAATTGGGCTTTTTGTTTAAAGGAACTCTGTCATGAGCCTTATTGCAAAGTGAGGTTTTCACCATAGTCCTCGTTATCCAACAGGGATGGGTATTGATTGGGTCTGTCTGAGACTTGGCCTTGGACTACCATGGCAATTAAAGCTCTCATAAAGAGGTTCCAGTTTGCCAAGTGGGTAGGGTTTAGTAGCTATTTGGGGGTCTGTGTAGAAAGTTGAGGAAAAAAGAACTCAAACTTTGGCCTTTTTGATTGTTGTCCCTTGAGTTAGGATGCTCTATTTATGAAGATAAATTTAATATATAAGGGATTAGGGCTGGTTTCTCATCTCTGTCCCGGGGCTCCAGGGTGTCAGACTTTCTTCTCCACCCCTAAGCCTGGGAATGTATTGCAGGTGTGTGTTTTACGAGTTACTGTTAAGGCAGAGCACATTTGTCAAGCCAACAACTGTCCTTGCCTGGGTTTCTTGTTCTAGTTTGAATTATTTATTTTATAAAATGTGGGGGAATTCATTATCTGTAGGAGAAAGTGGGGAAACAAAGGTCTCAAGTTTTTTCATGGCACCCTGGGGAGCGGTCCGCGCGGACACATTAGTTTGTGGATCTGGTTCTCCCATATTTCCCAGGTGGACTCTTCTTGACTGGGAAATTCTAACCACCTGGAAACAAATGATTCTGCATTTCAGGTGAGACCTTGGTCAGAAACAGTGGACTGATCAACTGATTTAGGCCAAGCACCAAGGAGGCTCTAGGAGCCAGCATCTGGGGCAGGCCACCTCTCTGATTTCTTCATAGAGGGATTTTCTGTAGAAGGCAGCATAGGACTACATCGCCTCTTCCAAGTCCACAAACCTGTGGTCCTCGGACATCTCATGATGGCTTGCTTTGGGTCTATGTTCTCATGCCCGCAAGCAGTAACATTTTGCTGCAGAAATGGCCTCCCCAAGCTTCCTGTCCACACACTCCTTGCTCGGTGTCCTCCATGTTGGAGCTTCCTGCTTTGGAGCCGTGCCCCGGGGGCAGGGTGACTGCAAGTGCCAGCTTAGCGCTCCCCATTGGGGGCCCAGGCTGCAGGACAAGGCAGCTCGCCTTCCACAGAACACCCGTCTCATCCTTCCTTCTTACTTACTGCTGATCCTCTTCTACATTGACGAGTAAACCAGGAGACGGAAGTTATTGGCCGACTCCAACTTTTACTGCTTAGACATAGCTGTCAGAGCTTGACTTTTTCTTCTAGAAAAACAGAAAGAGCACCTGGAGAGTTTGTGGAAAACCCTGAGGTGATCCCTAAGGTTTCCTTGGGTAATATTGTTTGCGTATTTTAGTGTGTGCAAGTGTGTGTGATGTTCATGATAACTTTTTTAATGGGGTGGGAGGTGTCTAGCGTATTAAGAGTAGAGGAGGAATCAGTTGTTTTTTGTGTGGTTTTGTGTCATAGAGAATATTTTTCTTTTCCTTTTTCTCCATCAGCTGGTCTGATGGGTTTACGGATTCCCATTCTGAAAAGACATTGGTCTCACATCCTAGAATTTTAGATGAGGACTGTTCTACTGTGAAGAAAGTTCTGGCTCTGTTAGCCCAGCCATTGCTTCTCCTTGCTCAGGTCTGGAATCCCAAGCAGTGTTTTTTGCTGTGAACACTGTGAACTGCAGACCCAGCATCTCTTTAAAAAGTCGTCTCTTCAGCAATCCGGGACTTCCTTGACCTCATTAGTCTCCCTGCCTCCCCTGTAGTCTTAAGCCAAGTCATCTGACCTTTGCAGTGTCAGGAGCTTTGCATCCAGCCGTGCGTGCCACCTGCTCTCTGCCTCTGGAAGTTCAACTCCGCCTGGATCCCAGTCTGGATCTTGGGATCTGAGGTGGAATCTTCTGGACCGACAACCCCGACTTTAGCAGCACTGGTGCTGCTGAGGCTGGACTGAGCAGCTACCATTTGCAGAGGACACAGTGCATGGGACTTGCTTTGAGTTCACTGGGTCCCACCTGCAAGAACTCTGGAAAATAAGAAAGGACCAGTACCCCAGCACCCTACACTGTCATGCTGTGTCATTTCAGGAGAGGAAGTGATAAACTACTTGCCTTCTAGAGCTCTTTGTGAAAAATTAAAAACAAACAAAAAAATGGCTCAATTCTACGATTGTTCATTGGTTCCCTCCAATACAGATCAGTGGCCAATGTTGTTGGGGTTCCAGGTCTGCTCTGGAACAAAGCTGTCGGGGACCAGGGGTCACCATCACTGCTGCGGGGTCCCTGTGGCAAACGAGAGGGTGGTCACTGACTTTCCTGTCCGGCGGGGGTTGTTTTAGACCGAGGGGTACAGGTGAGTCAGCTGAAAAGGATTCTAGGCGACACAACAGGAGTCCCCAGTGGGAGGGTGGTGGGGGAGGGTCCAGCTTGCATTTCTGTGCTGTAGGTCAGTCTGTCCATTCACCTAAAGGTACTGGGATGCTCGTCCAAGGCCAAAGAGCTTTATCCTGGGCAGAAAAAGGAGCATCCATGTTGGCCTTAGCGGCCCCCTGAATTTCAAGTCAAGCTTCCCCAAAACTTTAAACCCCAGACCTGAGCACTGCCCTGTTTCAGGCCCTGTACTGGGCACTGAGATACACAGACGACCAGGAAAGGCCCCGACAGCTGTGGCCTCCACGGTCCCACGGAGCAGCCATGAAAGCAGCATGGCTTTACTTCCGAGGTTGGGACAAACAGGGCCGCAGGACCCCAGGTAACCTGGTTCTGCGGAGGCGGCCTGTGGAGGCAGTTGTGCAGGGAAGGTGAGAGTTGTGTTGGTCTGGGGGCACGCGTGGGAGTTCACATGAGGGAGGAGGGTTGGCACGGGGCACGGGAAAGCTTTCCGGGCATGGGGAGGTGCAGGGCTGTGCCAGGGCCTGTGCCAGGGCGGAGCAGCTGGGGAGGACTGAAGAGTCGGGCGGCGCTGCGAGTGATGACGAGGAACAAGACTGAGACCAGCTGATGATGGCAGGTAGGTGGGCTCGCGTCCTTCTCGGGCTGTCTCGTCATGAACGCAGAGGCCATTGGTTCTGGGGCAATTCTAGCTTTGGTTACTCTCCTGACAGGCCATGCAGAGGTTTCCAGTAAAACGGCGGTGTCCAAAACAAGAGAAATTCCCACTGAGCTACACACTTGGGAATCTTTTCAGTTCTTGTTGGAACAAATCCCTCTAACAAGTAATCGTCAAATAAAGGTGAGGCATCTACAGTATGTTTTTGAGACTTTTTCTCCAAGTAAACGAGTGGGCGAGGGGTAAGAAATGATCCAGAAGGGTCTTCATGACTGACAAGGAGTTCATTCATCAAGGAGTTAACGAATGACCAAGTGGGAGTTAAAATGAGGCTGCTCATTTGATTAGAAAATAGGGTGACGTGGGTGACATAGTCAGAAAAGTAAAAGCCGGCACCTCGGAAATTAATCATTACACCGATGTTTTATGTTGTGTGGTGATGTTTATTATTTCAGAAAGAACCTTCCTCCCCCAGGATGTTCTGATTAAATGTGGCAGGAAGAGGTGTCCGGGAGGAGAAAGCCATGGCATGCGAGGTGACCTGTCAGTGAGTGGGCTGAGGACAGCCCCAAGTCAATGCAGGGAGGATGGGACATGGACAGAGTCTGGCCAATGGGGCCCAGAAGTCCTCTTCTGCCTGTTGGAAAAGAGAAATAATGATGGTGGGTTTTAGCACACTGTGTTACAACAGATGACATAGAAAATACACGGAACAAGAAAGAGGACATGGCCTGAATTACAGCATGAAGAGTTCAGGGGAAGTTTCAGGAACGACTGACTGACAGGATCATTAAACACTGAATGGGATTCCAAGGCCAGTGGTAGGATGGCTCCATGAAAACGCGTTGTTGGGGAGGAGAACACTCCCTTCTGCTCTGTGAATTTACCTGGTGGCCTGTGCTTTTTCGTTCCACCCATAGATGCCTTCATATTGAGATGATCTTTGCTCCGGTGGCTCCTGCGACACTAGCTGGGCTGCTCCCAGCCCAAAGCCATCCTCCCATCTGCCCTCAAAAGGGGTGGAAATAATGAAGATGCCTCTGAGCCCTGGGTTCTCTTTATTTTTAAGTTACTGGGTTTATTTTGATGCCCCTCCCTGTAGTTTCTTCAGCGTGGCTGCCTCTAGAAGGGGCGTTTTAAGACAATGTCCACGTCTGAGCAATTCCGGGGCCTGCTGAGCACCAGCATCTCAGCCCCACCGCGACTCAGAAGCGGCTTTTCCAGGCGTCTCCTGTTCTAGGGGAGGCTGGACAGGCGTCTTGAGCTCCTGCTCGAGGGAACCTGACCTTCCAAGTGTAGTGGACAGCCGTCTCTCCATTCCTCAGAGAAGCTTAGAAAATAGCCCGTGATTTAATGTCCTCTCCCAAAAGACAACGGGCAGTTTGCAAAGAGCCCCAGATGGAAGCTGAGACGTCCAAGCGTTGGTGGTGTGGTCTGAAGGGTTTTAACTGCTCTGAAAACTGCCGGCACCAATTGTAGTGACTTGATGTGAATGTTATTGTTCAGACGGCCCAGAGAGGAACCCTGTGCAGAGCTGAGTGGCCGGGGACAGATGAGTGACATGGGCCATGGGGACGCTGAGGGGAGTGGAAAGAGGTGGCTGCCAGGGCACAGCCCAGCAGAGACGTGCAAGGACAGGGGGAGAAGAGACAGATTCAGGTCCGTCAGTGGAGAGAGAGGCTGGGGCACTGCCCGAAAAGAAGGGAGGGCCCAGACCAGAAGACACGGTGGAAGAAGGCAGGCTTCGAATGGCAGTGGCGGCGCTTGGTCCTCTAAGTGGCTATTTTATCCTTGTGAACCCGCAACAGTGGGAGGGAGTGCGGTGCTGTTCAGCTGGACGGTCTGCAAAGGAACGGGCGGGATGCCTAGAGCCCAGGTGACAGCCCTTGTGCAGGTGAGTCGTCCCTGAGCAGGGCTGTTGGAGCTGAGAGCCCCTTCCTGCTGGGAAAGACACAGGGTCCAGGTGGGTGTAAGAGGGAGGACGTGGGAGTGGGGAAGGTGCCTTCTGGTGAGAGGACTGTCCCTCCCTGACTACAGAGGGAATCCAAGAAGATGGGACCCTCAAGGGAGGCACCGCTGGCTCTGTGGTGACGAGCTCTGGCTCTGAGAGACATTCCAGCTAGCAGGGCTGTGTCACGTTGGCTGTCTGCTCCCATCAAAGCCCTGCCAGCGTGTGCTGCCCGGCCGGGAGGCGTGTGTTCGGGCCGCACCAGGCCCACAGTGCCCCCCTCTGGGAGCCTCTGGCCCGCGGCGGTGGGACAAGCTGCAGCAGCCCTGGCCGCCCTCCAACTCCGCGAGTCAGTCTTTCCCCAAAGCAGCAGCGGGCTAGATTTTCCCAGGGTGCCGTCCACACATCTGGAGTCACACCTCGGAGAGTCACAGCTGCAGTGGGTGGCTGCTCAGTGGCAAGGAGGTTGGAGGCTTCTGGGAAGACAGGACTCCCCTTAGGCCAAAGCCCCACCCCACCCCCCACCCCCAGGAATACCAGCCCTGATTCTTCGGGGATACTCCAAGGGCCAAGTGCTTCCTTCAAGTATGCTGCCCCTGCTCTCCAGTGAAGCAGCAGCTAAGTGACTCAGCTAAGGTAGAAGTGGCCCTGGAGTCAGGTCCCTCCCATACCAAACCATCGATGCAAAGCTTCTGGTAGACAGTCTGCCTTGTTTCTTATTTTCTCACCTGCATCTCATCTCATCTCATCTATCTCCTCTCCTCTCCTCTCCTCTCCTCTCCT